TTTTTAAAACCAAATCTCCCCCCCCCCCCCCGCCACTGTGATTACACATGCAAACGAACAGCGCCAACGCGGTGCGTGGCATTTACATAAAGAGTGTTCACCAACAGAAATAATTCCCCATCCGCAGCCGCAGCTCGGGAGATGTTTTTCTCAACAGCAGAAGTTGTTTGCGCACCACAGGCATGCCCCTCCCCAGCCCCAGCCCAGATCCCGGGAGCCAGAGACTGTCAGCCCTGAGCCCTGAAAACCAGCTTCTATTTCTGCTCTTTCAAGTGCTGGATGCCGCCGCTAAAAATACTCCATACCAAGTTTCAGCTCATCTGCAAAGGTACTCCAAGCTCCTTCATGTGTCCCCTCCCCAGGTCCCCAAATCATAGCCCAAAGGGGGCTACAGTTGTCTCCAGGGCTGTAGAGCTGCAGCTAGGTGTTGAAGGAAAACCCCAGACTCAGTCCCAGGGGGGACTGGACCTGCATCTTAAGTGGTCTTCTGCTGGGCTTCAGAGGGCCAAGAGTCAGGACCTACACTTGTTCCAGGGGTGCTGGGAGGCCCCCCAGAGGGCTGTGAGTCAAGGAGAGACCCCATAATCACATTGAGGTTCCCTGCACCTGAGTCTCAGGTACTGGGAGACCCTGTGTCTCCTGTTGCTCAAGACTGGTCTCCACGGCATCAGTACCACTTTCAAGGTCCCCAGCTGCGGTGACAAGGTTCTGGTTTCCAGGACTGTGCATCCCAGGGAGGGAGCACATGAGACATAGTTAACTGCTTCTATGAAGACGTGACTAACCACTCACCGAAGTGGAGTCAAATCTTAGTCAAGGCAGAAAGATCTGCCCTCCCCTAGGCAGCCAGGAGCCAGCTCTTTACGGCAGAGACTTATCCCCCTTGGATCACACCATGGAAGCAAACTGGATGCTTGTGGTCCAATGACTATGTGGGTTACATGCTGGGGCTCCTGATGTAGTCACAGGAGCCCTACTGAGCCGTTGAGGCCCCGTGGGGCCCAGTCTGGGTGGCAGACAAGCGGGGGTCCAACTCAAGGAAGGACTTGGTTCTGAGTTGAGATGAACCTGGCACAACGAGGACAAACCAGAAGGATCTCACCTACACAAGGTTCCCAGGAGTCACACCAAACAGAGACAGGGGCAGTGCGGGTACAGCAGGGGAAGTCAGTATTCAATGGGGACAGGGTCAATTTGGGAGGATTTCAACCTTCAGGAAGTTCCTTGGATGGACAGTGGTGATGGCTATACAATGTGCAACTAAGTGCTTATCGCCACTGACCTGCAAACTGAAAATGTCTGCACAGTCTCATATGTTCTGCACATTTTATACAATAAGCACATTTTGAAAAAGAAAAAAGAAGGCTGGGAACGGCGGCTCAGCCTGTAATCCTAGTACCTGGGCGGTAGAGACAGGAGGAACAGGAGTTCAAGTCCATCCTCAGTACACATCAACTTTGAGGGTCAGCTGTTTCAAAAAATGAAAGAGGCGGGGGAGGGGGAACGCATTCAGATTGGATGAGGCCTTGAGTGCCATCATCAGTATCCCAAAGAGAAATGGAGGGATATAGAGAGGGATGATCCCATAGCCCTGGTCCCTCCCCAAACTTAGCACCTGCCCCCAGGACACCATCCAGCAGGAAGACCCCAACACCGAGCCCTGTTCCTATCCCTGGGTCCACAAGTGTTCTTTGGATTCACCTAGGCAGCATCCTCAGAAGCAGCCCAGGCAATTCTACTCCTGGGAGCCCCCATCAAGGAACCTTAGGCTGATATGAACAGTTGCCAGTGGATGACTGGCTACCCAAGGCCACCCAAGTCAAAGCCACACCAAGGCCTGGGGAAGGGGATACCCACTTCACAGAGGAGACATATACATCACCTCTCAAAACTCAGAATAAGAAAGCTGGGAACTCCTTAATCTCAGCACTTGGGAGACAGAGGCAGGTGGATCTCCCAGAGTGGTCTACATAGTGAGTTCCAGGCCAGCTGGGGCTGAAGGGAGACCGTCTCAAAACATGAACAACAAAATCAGAATAAAAAAATAAACCCTAGTCCTTAATTATAAAGTAGATGACATAAGCCCACAGTGATAGAAAAAAATGCCAACTCACCCTGTGTAGTAGACTCCCTGTAAAGCTGTAGCCATCAAGACCACGTGGCACAGATGGACAGACATGCGGCTTCCATAGCTCGTCACAGACAATCCACACAGCCACATTCAGTTGGCATTTGACAAAGGATGTGAGCCAGTCAGCAGAGTACTGGATGGCCTTTTCACCCACGCAAAACCAAAGCCAGGGCTGCCCTTGATCCAAACCTCACCCCCAAAGACTCATTAGCAAACGGCTTGCTCTTGGGTCAGGCTAAGAGCTCTAATGTGATCCCCAGAGCAGTGAGTCCTTCAAATAGAACCGGAAACATGAATTCTTCAAAGTGAAAGATAATTTTGTGAAAGAGCAGCAAAATAGGGCCATTACATATGGGAAGAAATTGTCTACGCAGCACTCCTAAAAGTAAAGTACTCTCAAAACTGGAAATAAAAAGCAAAAAAACCCAAAAAACCAAAAAACCCAACCCCCCCACCCCCGCAAACAGCTCCAGTTTCAAAAGTGGGCATGTAGGTGGAGAGTCTGCACAAGTCAAGAAATACAACTTGAAACCACAAGAGGATGTCATCTCCTAGAACAGACAGGGCCTAGAACTGTCCACAAGGCCAAGTGCTGAGGAAGGCTTTACAGGGTGCCCTTGTGGTACCAAAGACACTGCAAAATCAGAGCTGGTTCTGTAAGTGGACGGCCAGGAGACACTCCTCGCCCACCTCTGCAGGTGCCAGCTTGGTACAAGCCAACTGTGGC